AAGGCAGAATTGCAAACACAGATTATACCATTAAGAAGTAAACGGGTTCTTCAAAAGAACACAGAAGCAAGCAATGTTGCCGTGCAGCCAAATGTAGCAGCTTTAGAAGACGGGTCAGTAGAAGATAATGATTCATCTGTAACAGAAAGAAGAATGCCATTAAGGAGTGATGAGACCAGTAAGGGTGAAATAGCCTTGCAGTCTGTTACTCAGTTGCCACAAGTGGACAACAAAAAATTAGCACTAAGATCACAAAGACTGATCCCTGTCCCCTCTACTAGTGCTTATACTGTAGCCCCAAGACAAAACGATGTAGCTTCTCCTGTCAGAATAATGCCAGAAAGAATAACTAAAGCACAGGTGAGGTCCCCCTCTGGGTCTGTTGCATCCGTGTCCCACAGTTCACACGGCCCTATCATTACTCCTAGGCACGAGCCCCCAAAACAAACGACTAACAAATTCTTTGAGACTTTGACCGCAGAAGAAAGCCAACAGCTAATTACAAATCTGAATATTAAATATGATAAAATGCAAAAAGGTTGGGTGCAAATGGATAAGGAGGGTCAGCCAGCAGCAAAATACAAAAACAAAGCAGACCGGCAGGCAGCTATATGGAAAAGTAAGCGCAGGGCACGAAAACCAAAATCTGCAGAGCATCAGAAATACTCGCCAGTCCAAATGCTTTTTATGAAAGGTTTTAATCTCTCCAACATTTGTCGCTGGTTCCTTGAATCAACGGAAACAAAATCTCTTGTCATCGTCAAGAAGGTGACCACACGTCTTCCATCAGAAAGTCAGCTGTGCTTCCACAACTCGTCAAGTGTGGCAGGGACGTCTCAGGGTGTATTTCCAAGCGTACAGGCAGAGCGCTTAAAGAAGCATTTGAAAAAGTTCGCCATTGCCTCCCCTGTAAAGAGCAACCCCAGGAGTCAGAAGCTGATTGCTAGAGCACTGGAGCAAGAAGCAAATGCAGTCAAAGGGAAAGAGAGAGGAGATCTCTCCAGTAGTTCTCAGAATTTGACAAAGTACTCCTCTGCCAAAGCTTCTGCTCAGATAAGTGAATCCCAGAAATCCTCTGGAAAATCAAAGAATCCAGCTAGTGCAAGAATCCTGAGGAAATATTCTAATATTAGAGAGAAGATGCAGGTTCAGCAAACGACTAGTAGACTGAAAAAGGCATCAAAAATATTAAAAACCAGCAAGATTAAAAGACTTGCCACCACAAAGTCATCCTCCAAGTCAAATCTGAAGCAGTCTCTTAAGGCACGGAAATCCGCATTACCTGTCAGCAAACGAATGAAAGAGTCATCGGCAAAAATGGAGAGGCGAAAAATATTGGCTAACAAAAAATCAAAGCAAACTGTAAAATATAAAGCTGTGAGGGCTCAGAGCAGTGGTAGAGCTTCAAGAGATACAAGTAAAAAGGAGTTGCCTAAGAGATGTTCTCAGAGACTTGGGTCTCCTAAAATAGCCGAACATAACCCTGTCGACACACCTAAAGGCAAAGCGGACAACAAAAGGCACACTGAAGCAAGTTCTGCAAAAATCCAGTCGCGGGAGTCGTCACAGAGTACACCTACTGAGATCAAAGATGCAGAGAATGCTGCTGAAACCCCACAGCAGAGCACGGATGTCAAGGTGCCAACCTCACCTGACCAGGTGCTAACAAGATCCCAGAGAAAAATGGAGGCTGCTCTCCCTCCGAGCGGGAGCCCCAGTCATGTTTCAAAGAGAGCCACGAAGTCCTCGACAACACAGCATGCGTCTCCCAGATCAGTTAGGAAAACTGATGAACCTACACTGACGAGAAGCGGAGCTTTAAAGTCTCCGGTAAAAAGAAGTCCACGCAGTGCAACAAAACTGGCAACCAAGAGGGCTCTGAAGCTTGCAGACACCCCAGCGAAGCGCACAAGGACATCACTCTCAAAATAAGATTGATGCAGAGAGAAAGAGAGATCATCTTTATTTAGAAGATTTGCCTCTTTATTATCTTATATCTGGAATATACTCCGAAGGACCAAACCCAGTCTATTTTGTGTACTCACCAAACTCTTCAGAGAATACCTTTTTCAGTAGGTAAATGTGAGAAAGAAACACATTTTGAAATTTGTTTATCGGTCAGTGTGAAAATGCAAATGTGACGTATTGTTCAGATTTCGGTTTGTTTTTAGGACTGAAAACCTGTCCTGTGTGATGTCTGGCAGTTGTAGCCGTTTGGCTTTATGTTTCAGCGCTCTTGACACGGCTGGAGATGACAACAGCCTAACAAATGTTTTCAGAGTTAGGAGAACAAGCATCGAACTGGGATGCATAAGAATTTGTTCAGTCCTTTTGTTCCCTTTTTTTTCTTTGCTGTTTTTGTATATAATTATCGTTTTAGATGATAGCATGCACTGCGTTTAAGCTTCCTATGTAAGTTGGCAGTTTGTATCTCCAGCCTGTGTTCAAATCACAACAGCGTGAATATGTGACTGCTGTGACCAGGTGCCTTATTTATGAAGTGTAATGTAATAGAATGTGTTGCTAAATGTGAAATCTCCTGTCCTCTGCTTGTAACAGCTTTCAGTTCCCAGAGAGGCAGTCAGCATTAATTTGCTACACACAGTGTGTGCAAACTGTTTCCGTTCCGCACAGTATGTGCCTCACACTTCATCTGCAAATTCTCATGTTGATTAAGGCGTTCAGATTTTCATACTCATCTTCCACCTGAGATTTATTTTGTGCCCATTTTCCCACAGCATTAACATAAAATTATTCTTATTATAGTTGTATTAGATGTTGAGATCTGAATTGTTAAGAGACATGCGTGTTATATATGTGTCATGACAAAAGTTTGTAGCTTTTTTTTTTTTTTTTTTTTATTTAATGTTTGAGGTTTCGTCACTATGTACCTCCACGGTCACTTTTGACAATTGCACCCAGTGTTACCTGCACATTCTGGTGACTTTTGAGTATTTTACCTGCGTCTGCATGTGGTTATTCTTGTTAATGTTTAGACCGTTTCACAATGCAGCCATGAAACCTCCCATTAATATTTATGCCCCTAAATCCCGTTTGAGAGTTAAGTAAAAGCTGTAAACTATGGGAGATGATTTGGGAATTCTAGCTTATTTGTCAAAATTCCTCCAAGCAAAGGCCTGAACAGTTTGTGTATTTATTGGTAAGTATGTATGAAACGGTAACGGACCGTTGCATTAATCATGTTTCGCAAGCTGGATCTAAAATATTTGGGGTTGCTTTAGTCCCTTTCTGAGTTGTGCATCCAAGTGTTTGGCAGTTTTACTTTTTATGGTCTCTTTTTTCCATTTCTTTGTTTTATTTTCACTGACAGTTAGATGTTCTCATAATGTGACGTTTGTTTACTTCCATCATAGTAACTTACATTAGTGTATTGTCAAAGGAAAAAATACCATTTTAGCACAGTTTTATTATTATAATAATGATTATGATCATTTTCTGTAAGAGGATAAATCATCTGTAAATGCAAAACAGGTCTACCATGTTTTTATTGTTATTTAAGAACTCCATTTAGGCTAATGAATTTAGCAAATGTAAAACAGCCCACCAAATACCAGACTTGAACATGTTTATTCTTTACAGTTGCTATTTAAAGATTTTCATTTTGTATATTAGAAAGAAATACCTGCTTTATTTGTGGTAATCCCAAGAATGATACATCTTTATGTTAAGAACTTTGTATTTTTGCTGGAGTTGATATAAAGATGTTTGAATTTTATGCATGTTGTTTTTTGTTGTACTTTGCTTTATTACAGCCTCAACAGAGGTGCTCACACAAGTACAGGAAAGTGTAATGAATTTTGGGGCTGGGGGGCACTGAAATGTGTATTGTCAGTATTTTAAAAATATTCACAAATTATACTCTGAGGTCCTTACAGTCAGCATTCTGAATATTCACGTGAACTTGACAGTATGGTTATGGTTCAACTTTGTAGTTAACACGGTATTGATGGCATTTTACATAAATGGGACCTGCCATACGGCCAAAGGGCAATAGCCCCAATGCCCACAGGAAGCTCCCACTGTGCTGTTGGACCGATTGGTAAACAGTTGGCCTCCATAACCTTTGTCAGTGTAGAAAACAGTAAAGGCACAATTTTTCACTATAACCAGTGTGACACGAAGTAGTTAATTTATTTACCCTTTTTGGTGATATGCAGTTAGGTCCCTTTTACAAATGAATGACACACCACCTTAGTAAGTCAGTAATTGGTTACTACCAAATCATTAAAAAAGAAAGTTCTGCCAAGTAGAGCCTACACCTGCAAACAAGGCATAACCCGGTACACCACCACACTGGATTTGAAGTCACACAAAATAGATGTGAATCTACAGGCTTGCAGCTCAAATGGTTTAACAAAAGTATTGAATTAGTATTAACTGTTTAGGAATAAGACATTTTTATATAGTCCCCCATTCTCACAGGCTCAAAATTATTGGGACAAACTGATGTAATTTTTAATGTAAGTTTGATGAAAATCTTTGCAGTCAGTGACTTCCTGAAGTCTAGAACCCATGGACATCACCAAATGTTTCCATCCTTGAGATAGTCTGTAAAGGCCTTTATTGCAGCCACATCTGCAGCTGCTTATTTGTAGGGACCTCTCAGCTTTCTTTTTTGTCTTGAGTAACTGAAAGCATGTTGTGTTTGATTGAGTTAAGGTTAGTGATTTGGCCATGAGAGAACAATACTTTTGCTGCCATTGGGGGAAAAACAAAACAGTCTCCCCTTTCTTGCATCAACATCCCTTTGGAAGTCATATTGAGAATTCCAGTGAAGTGCTGCCAAATGCAATTTCAAAACTTGGAATTGAAAATTGTGGTGTTGTACAGAGGCAAAAGTGTGTGTGTGTGTGTGTGTGTGTGTATATATATATATATATATATATATATATAGATATAGATATATAAAAAAGTGTGACTGTGTTTCAAATACAAACTTGTAAGATTTGCCAAGTAAAAGAAGGAAATGATGGAGACAATTTTTAAAAGCACACACATTTAAGTTTAATTAATGAAAAGAGTGGAGTTTTGGTAAACATTTTGTCGGTGGCACTACATACATTCAGCATTATTGAGTTTTCAGTTCAATCCCACCATCAGTCCTGTAACATAAACGCAAACAGACAGAACCCAGCCAGGGATATTTCTTAGTTTTTGCACCATTTCAATACAACAGAGACATTGTGTTGTTCACGATAACATTTATGTATATAGTTCATAGGATGGAAGAAAACTGTGTTTCTGGTCATGTGACCAGTAACTGAATTACATCTCAATATAGCACAAGCACCACTAAGATGTCTACCAGGAAGTTGAATGCACCAGTCCAGTACAGATTAGTGCAGAGGAAGGAAAGGAGACATGGAAAGAAAGTCACATTTGACTAAACGCGCACCTTTACGAGGCACACAGCCTAAGTATTACAGTGACTGTTCATCAGTATCCTTTATGGGATCTTTAATGTTTTTGTACACCACTGGGATCACAGCGACAGCATGTAAAACAAAGTTAACATGGGTAGCAATATGAATAGGAGCTCCGTGATGCAACGCTGTATGAGCTGAGAACTGCAGCCTTTCACACTATAAAGAGACTTTAACAGTTAGATCAGAAAAACGGATCAAACACAATCCCGATCTGCAGAGAGAACAACACCTTAACGCCATCCCGATGGACTGTCACTTATTCGACAGGATGTGATTTCTATATCTTACATTGGAAACTAAATAACAGCTAAAAGTTACCACTTCATGAATAAGCATAGGTCATATTTATCTATACACATTTATACATTCAGGTATGACGTTCACTGTAATTGGCACCATTGCTTTCTTTTTTTTCCTTTTTTTTTTTTCGTATGGATTACCACTTAAAACTGACAGATACTGAAAATGTCCAGACCGTTCTCGTTTACTTATCTGTCAGTAGTAGGCATGTAATGCTTCACACACAGTTGCCTTTTCAAAGCAATCTTGGATGACACACCTTGATAACATGATCATTGTCCACAGAGGCAACTTCATCCTGTTCCTTCTGGCTTGACAGCAGCTTATGATCAGTTGAGCTTGACTAATTTAAAAAAAACGTAAAAAAAACCCCAAAACAAAACCCACCAGCTCACAAATTCAAATGACAGAAATGCAACTCGAGCACTTCAATCCAAATGAACAAGGAAACAATCAGAAGTCTTTTAAGTGTGATGTGTTAATTTCAAGGGAAATTTGAGGTGGGGGACATCTCTTAATCTCAGCTCTGAACTCTCCGGCCCCCACAAGCAAACCAGGAATGTCTGAGCCAGAGAGGAAGGTCAAACACTGCTATGAAGTGATGTTACAAATACAGTTTTTTACGTAATTTATTTTTTTTAGTTACCTTTTTAAATCTTTTTGACATTTTTGATCTTCACTTTCTACAGGAAAACGCCATTAGATAAAATAAATAAAAACAAGCACAGACTCTCAATGAATTAATGTAATATTCACATGGAAGACAACATATACAATATTAAACATATTTCTAGACCAATACTGCCTTCTATACAAAAAGGCCAACCAGCTGCTGCATTTTTTTTGGCCAATTAAATGTAATTAATCACCTTTTGGAGCATGTGAGATACAACAAATTAAAAAAACAAAAAACACCTAGGGAACCAAATGAACGCCTTTCCACCAGTCCCAAAGCTTCAGGAAACAGACTTACTCTTTAACATAGAAAAATACTATACCAAAATGAAATACAAATATATATATATTAGAATCTGTTAGGCATTTCTATATAAAGGGTTGTAGGGGAGGGATGGGGCAGCTAAAGGAGTTAGGTTACATCATGACACAAAAATATAACAAAAACAAATTATGAGAAATGAAACAAAACAAAATAAAAAATAAAACAACAGAGCATGATTCTGCAACCTTTTTGTTTTGTACATTTATAAGGATATTAAGAAGCTCTACATATTTGTTAGCAAACGTCTCCAAACATGCAACAGTTTGCACAAGTTTAATACTGCAGGCATCAAAAGGAGCAGGACTGATTGGCCTCCTACTCACTGGGGTGGAGTAGGTTGGGGGTGGGATTATGCAAATCATCCTAACCCTGAGGCAATTCATGCTGGGGGCTGATAAGCACTGGGCACTGTCAGCACCGGATGGGTTCTCTGATTGGAATAGTTTGGCACAAGCCTTCCCGTGTGGCGTTTAGACTGTGCAGAAAATGTGTGTATGCCATGCATGTGTGATCATGTACTTCAGAGACGTGCCTTGACTGCTGTTTTCAGTGCTGCTAGTCAGCGCAGTCTCTTGTTTATTTATTTTTTAATGGAGTTTCTGTTACGGTACCTCACAGAAATCAACTGTGACACTAGACCACCCTAGCCTCGAAGCCACGACGTCTGCGCCGCTCTTAATCGTACGTTTTCTTCCTTGCTGTTCACTTCTACGTGTGCGTGTGTGGATGGATGACTGTATCCTGGCAGAGAAACTGCTACACCAAACCAACAACAACTTCAACTCAACCCAAACCATATCCAGCCCAGTCCAGGCAACCCAGCCAAGCTCAACTCAAAACAGCTTTGCCAAGTCAAAATTGTCCAGCTCTCCTCTTAGCCTTCTGCTTTTCCCAGGCCGGACCCCACTGTTCTCTCTGCCTCCACAAAGTAAAGATGGTAGATGGTGGCTGGGCTGTCAGAGGCCTCAGAGATGGATGGGGAATTCACACTGGGTGACTCGGGTTGAAACAATGTTGCGGATACAATGGTTTGCTGCTGTTATCGCACCTACGTTGTTGCCCGTGATGTTGGTTTCTCTGTTTTACTGTAGGTCAAACACCCTTAGAAGGGGAGGAAATATACTATTTTACAAACACTGTTGTCCATAATATATAGATAGAGGTTTTATATATATTCTTTAATATCTCTCTTTCTTTCTCTCCCTCACTTTCCTACTGTCTTCTCTTTCCTTTCTTTACTTCCTTTCTTTCTTTCTTTCCATCTTCTGCTCGTCAGCAGCAGCGGGGAACGGGAGTGAACTGTGCTACATGCAGCCCACGCAGCCGCACTTGATGGTCTTTTCCACCTCCTCGCTGAAGGTGGTCCCATCGCTGCATTCGAAGGTGTATTTCCGACGTTTCATCCTCTGGCTGGCGCAGCAGGCCCCTGTGTCGCAGGCTCCAGTGCACTCCACCCAAGACACCATGCGTGTCGTCTGGCAGATAGCGTATCCCCGCTGGACCTGGTAGAAGTCTCGCACAGGTTCCCCTCTGCACTCAATCTCTAAATAAAAAACAATGGGAAAAAAGGTTTTTAATATGACTTGTTTTAAAGTCTTGTTTTTCTTTATCACTACAGACTAACATGCACAAAACCCACCTGCATCACAGAGTTCTCCGGTATAGCCATTTTCACAGTGACAGTATGCATCTCCTGTGTCTGAGATCTGGCAGCGACCATGTTTGCAGGACAGATGACGGCAGGGGTTAAACAGCTCCCCTTGTTGGTTACACAGGGCTCCACGGTAACCCTCTGCACACTCACAGCGGTATGACTGAGAATCCAGAGGGATGCATTTTCCATGGACACACCTATTTAAGAGGCAATAAACTCAATAAATATAAATATAAAGTTTAAAAACTTGATCCAAAGCTATTCCATTTGCTGACATACTTGCTGCCCTGGCAGGGGTTGCTAGCAGGCTGGTCACAGTGCGCCCCGCTCCAGCCTGGCTGGCAGTGGCAAACGGGTCCTTGGACCCCATCAGGTTGGCATATGCCATGTACGCAGTAGATCTTCTTGCAGGGCTCGCAGCCCGGTACCACGCCAGGCTTCATCTGGGTCTTGGTGAAGTCCTGAAGCTCGTTGTTTATGTACAGGTTCTGGATACAGCCATGGAAACTGGAGCTATTCTGGATCTGCCAGAGACGGAAAGTGCCCGAGTGCACGTCCACCGGCATGCCTGGAGGAAGGAACGAGAGAAAGGATCGTTATATACAAGGACGTGCATACTGAGTCACACGCACAGACAGCTAACACAGGGCTGGTATGAATGTAATGGAGACTGATATTTTCAAGCACGTGTGTCCCAGCAGTGTGTAAACCACTTCTCAGATTAGTATATACAACTGTTTTTTGTTGGGGTTTTACTAATTTTGATTTTTTTTACATTTGCACTATAAGACACATCATCCTTGAAATGGGGGACAACAAAAGGGAGAGAGGTATGGAAAAAAATTTCTCCTGTAGTTTGTATGAATGAAGAACAGCACATCACAGCAGGAAAAACATACAGCACCAAGTCTGAGCCACTCCTGATCCGATATGAACCCAGAAATGGGGGCTGAAATGCAACAAATCTAAGGTGTAACTTTAAAGGTTTATTTTTTCAGTTTGAAAGTCTGATTCTATCAAGAGTGGCTAAATTACATGTAAATTATACAAATGAACACCATGTGCACCATGGGAAAAAAAATGCATGCAAATACAAAACTAGTCTGAAGTCGAGACTGTGTGTGGTAGTTTGATTATGATTCTAACACTAGATGGCGTAGTTCACACACTATAAAAAAGTGCTTGAAGGACAAAGTCTATAGAGAGATGCATTGTGTGTTTACTCTAAATTATGATCTATTATTTTTGAGAATGACGTTCCTTCGGCTGTGTGGTGGTTAACACATTTGCAAGGGAAAGGCTGTGGGTTGTACTTCAGCCTGAAGGGCATCTGGTGTAAGCCTCTGTTAAATCAAAGATGCAGTGCTACCTGGTTCAGAAGAAGCTGAACGTAGCTTTACTTTTGAGCTTCCTGTTCATGACTAAAAAAACGTGTGTGTGTGTTAGTATTCAGGAGGTTTATCTGTATTTTTTCTAGCAAACACAGTCATGACTAAAGGTGGGATGGAGTGGCTAGAGGATAGGGTTGAAGGGTTGAATGGTTGAGGGAAAGGAGTGATTCGGGTGGTGACAAAGCGAAGGGGGAGGGGTGGTGATTGACAGTAGTGTAGTAGTTAAGAGTGCCTGCAGAGGAGGGAGGTGTGTTCTGGAGAGGGCCCCTACCCCCCACGTATAGTGGAGCCTCCCCGTTGATGGGCCGCACTGCCCCAAAGCTGTCCATTGTGGTAGGGAGACCCCCGTCAATGGACAGGTTCACCATCTGGTCAAAGGTCACCAGTTCCACTGTGTGGAACTGACCATCGTTGATAGTCTCAGTACTGGGAAAGGAAAACACAGATTGAAGATATGCAGTACAGTCACTGAAGTGAACACAAAATGCTACGTGCTCATCAGGACTGAGCGAGCAGTGGCACCTCACCTGTATATGGCATGTCCTGGCTGACTGCCGGGGTCATAGCTAACCTTGACATGACCTTGATAGAGCTCCACCGCCATATGATCATTGTCTCCATTGTACAGCAGGATACCATTGTCCTCCGCCGTTGATACCTACAGAGAGATCATTTTTGCATTGGGTGTTTGAGTTATTCAGGCTTTAGCACAGAAAGGCAGTGCCAGCACACTGAAATGGTAGAAATGACTGCACATACTTGTAGTGTGATGTTAGCTTGAGGCCAGTTCTTAAGGTCAGAGAGCAAGAGGTAGGAGTCTCTGTCAATGAAGTTGACGCTGACCAGCTTCTCACAGCGTGGCCCTCCGAACTCAGGAGGACACTGGCAGAGGGCGCGCCCACCTCGCTCCACACATGGGGCGTTGTTCTGGCAGTCGGCCCGCTCGCACAGTGACAGTAGAGATGGGGGAACCTCGCATAACTGACCGCTAAAGGAAGACAGACAGTGAGGGGATTTTTAGGAGTGTGATCTGATTAAAGCAGAAGAAACTAAGAAGCCAAAAATAATGGCACACTTGTCCTCTCCTCACCTATATCCTTCAGGACAGATGCACAAATATCCATTTAGCTCGTCCACACACTGAGCTCCATTCTGACAGCGATGCTCCTCGCAGTCATTATAGTCTACACTGCAGTCATCACCAACATAACCAGGAGAACACACACACCTGCAATGCAAAAATACAAATATAAATCGTCTATTTCCCAACATACAGCTTCAGAATTGATTGATCTGGTGCTTCTGGGAGTAAAACATACTTGGGTCCAGAGGATGTGATGAGGCAGGTAGACTCGTGTTGGCAGGGGCTCCGACCGGGGGCACACACATCTTCCATTTCTTCACACATTTCACCTGCAAAAAGGCAAAAGTTTTACAGAAGGTGGTTAACGCAGAGCAGAATCATATTTATTATAGCATAAAACCTTCTTTTTAACTGATATTTTGTTACTGTGCAGCTGTTTCTTGATCTTAACTATGTTGCATCTACTAACCTGTGTAGTAGGGGGGACAAAAACAGGTGTAGTTGTTGACACCGTCGATGCAGGTTGCTCCGTTCTCGCAGTCGTTGTCATCGCAGTCATCGATATTGGTTTCGCAAGTCGGGCCCTCGAAGCCCAATGAACATGTGCAACTGTGAAAGCAAACAAATCCATCTCATCAAGTTCTGTCTTTGATTAAGATTTAATTCCTTTCCTTCACTGATCTCCTCACCTGTACTGTCCCTCTTGATTTGCATCCATTCGGCAGGTTCCTCCATTGGCACATGGGCTGCTCACACAGGCGTTCAGAACCGTCTCGCAGTTCTTTCCCTGAAACAGAGGCCAGACTAAGGGATCTGCCAAAAATGATGCTACTCACGTCGGTAACCTCTTAACTGAAATTCACATCGTTCTAGATAGTTCTTACCTTGAATCCTGGAGGACAGCTGCACCTGTAGATCTCCACCAGGTCGCTGTGGCAGATGCCATGGTTCTGGCACGGACTCGACAGACAAGGGTTACACTTGGCCAACACTGCCGTGTCCACATCACCTAGAGGAAATGCCAAAAAGCTTATATTTCATTTTTTTTACAGGTACAAGTAACCAATCTAAGACAAAATTCCTGGGCTGAACACAATAACTTACCTGAACATTCAAATTTCTTTGCAGGTGTAGTCAGCAGAAGTTTGCCCTCCATGCCCTGAGGACCAGCACAGCGAGCGATGCCGGGCTCTTTGTATCCAGTCTTGACCCAGTCCGACAGCCAGCGCAGGTGACAGTCACAGTACAGGGGGTTGGCACCGATTGCCCTGAAAATTCAGAGATCAGTCATTAGTAATCAGTGATTTAGGCTCTTTTAGTATAAGTCTACCCACTGTAGTGCACTCTGTCACCAGCAGGTGTCTCTACATTCTCATATAAAGTAACACTCACTTAAAAATCAACTTGATGTCCTAGACAAAAAAATCAGAGCCTCCCTCAGAATAAAACAGCTCTAAACTTTAACGCTCAATGCCACTTTGAGCCATGCATTATCAGGAGGAAGGCTGTTCAATTACAGGCAAAGGTGTGAACAGAAGGCACTCTTAACTGCTTCTGTTATGGTGGTCAGGAATCAATGACGCTCTGTCCTCCCGCTGGATGCACAAACACTCCTGAATCGATGCTGTTCCATTACTGCGGAACACAGGCTCATCTTTCAGGCCGAGCCAATAGCTGACACCTGACATCTGCTTACATGAAAGCCACTTGACTGTGACTGTGGATCAATGGCTCCCCTCCATCCCTCACTCCAGCCCCATTTTCATGAAGCCTCGACTCTTGCTCTGCTCTCCACGAAATGTCTTTGTTTAGTTCTCCCTATGCTTCCTTCTGCCAGAGCTCCAGTGTCAAAACTGGAGGACACCTACAGATTGACAGATCTATCTGTCGTCATCATCTTTTTTTGGCTGCTCCCTTCAGCCGCATTTGATGCATCTCACCCTGTCCTCCTCCTCTGTCACACGACACGTCTGCATGTCCCGCTTCACTACATCCTACCTCCTCCGTGGTCTTCCCCTCCTGCCTGGTAGCTCCATATTCACGATAAGTCTATCTATCTAATAGGTAGATATGTCTACTGATCAGCAACTGTCACGAAATGATGTGACAATTTATGCTGGATGGCAAAAGCCATGCACAGCCAGACGCCCAACTCACACAAAATTGCAGACAAATAAATAAACACTGAAGTCCACAGACCATGAAAGATATGTGTGTGCAAGTCAGTGAATGTTTGTGCTTCAAAGATGTCACACAGGGAGATGAGAGAGCAAAGGGGTCTGTGTGTTGCTTGAACCGCAGGACTGCGGCTGATTAAGGGAGGGCTCGTCTCATGCAGAGCCGACCAAAGAGGACAACAGACAGCCCGCTGTGAGCCACACTCTGGCTGTGTGTGCAGACGGCTCCTGTACCTGACAGTGCCTGTGTGTGTGTGTGTATGCATTTTTGTGTGCAGCTACATGTATGTACACTTAACATGGTAAATGCAGATGAAAATGGTTCTGGAAAGGGCCATACAGTTGTGTGTTACTACTTACAAATGGGAAAGTGAGGACACGTCATTAAAGATGCCATCGGGAAGCTCTGAGATTTCATTGCCATGAAGAGACCTTAAGGGTGAAGGGGAAGGAGAGGACAAAAAGAGAAAATACATGAAGACATCTGAGCACAGAAAGAAAATCTTACTATTAGAACAAAGTTCAAAAGAAGAATTACTGATTGGTCAACTGCCAGAAAATCAACTAGTTTTTGATTTGTTAAAACACACTAGTATCATTTTTAAAAAAAGACAAGTATTTGAACATTGTCCATGAACCATTTCAGTATTTATAACAGCGCTCCTGTGTCCAAATGGTAAAGCTATATTTTTTTCAAAGTAAACCAAAGAGTCAGTATATTAATTGTCAGTGCTGGGTTGATTGCTTTCCAACAAACCAAAACCAGAACTATCAGGAACAATGGCGCAATGTTGTCTTGGCATTCTAAATGAGCGGGAGGTGGTTTGTGTTTCTGGTAGAGCCATGTGCAGCTGGCAAAGATACGAGGCTCTGTACGTCTGGAAAAGGCTGGTGTCAAGTTTCTATGCGCGTCTGGCTGGCAGGGCCAACAGGGGTATAGAGTTGGGGGGTTAAAGAGAGCTGTACCACATGCAGGACAGTGTAAGTGCGTGTGCAGACAACGAGGAACAATTATGTGCTTGCATATTTGGGCACATGCATTAATATTAATCCTGGTGTGTTTTTGCATTATTTTGAATCTACTGTTATTTTCCTTGTTCTCAGACTGCTACCAAGGTTGACAAGCCTACATGGCTTAATGGCTACATGATTGATGGTCATTGTAATCCGCCAGGTCATTACCACCTCTAAACCTCAGCTGACCGCAAGCTAATGTTACCACAGCTCAGTCCACAATAACAGTACATGACACATCTGCTCTCTATGCCTGGATGAAGAGAACTGATGTATAAACAGACTCTGAAAGTAAACTGCCTCCTTTGTTGGACTTGTCAATCACGGTGAAACTGCGGAAGAGTCAGAGGAAAGGATGCGGAGAGGGAAGTTGGTCAGTGTAAGAATACTAAATACTAGAGGAAAAATATACAGTGTAACCTGCCTGAGACAACACGCTAATTGGCCTGTGTGCCGTGGAGAATGCTTATTAGTGTAGAGCGCGTAGGTGGGTTGTGGTAGTCGGAGGATACCGAGGGCGTAAAGCCAGCAGCAGTGTGCCAGTCAGGGAAAGATCTCATGGGAAAAAAGGAGCCATGGAGTCTCCAGGAAGAAACTTGATCTGCGCTCCTGCTAACATTCTCTCTTTTTGACTTTTCTTTGCTACGGCTGTATATCATTCTGTCAATTCACATTGCTTATGCCAACTTATCTGCAGCCCGATTCCCAGAATGAAACCGATTGACAATGCGATGGCTTATGTCTACACAGAGTGTGGGAAGTCTGGTTCTGTGAGCCACATGTCTGTTTTGTTTTTGTTGAAGGCTTTACATTCATTGTTTTTTTCCTTCTCTTTTCTTTCATATCACATTAATTTCTTACAGGTTGCTACTCAAACCCCTGCGGGCCACACCCTGGCGCTGTCTCAGCTCACTCACCTCACACCTAATACTCAGCAGGCCAATTAGAAGCGTATTAATCTGCAGCTTAAACCACAACCACCATACAAACACACACACACACACACACGTGTGTGCACACTCACACAGTGCCGCTTGCAATCACACCACATCCATGCCAGCCTCAGACCCCTGGTTTGTTTGAAGAAGTGAGCGTTAATGATTCTTCTCCTCTTTTACTGCTGTGTAAAGCCAAAGGTGCAGCTTTATAAAGGCTCTGGCACCTCGGCGTGCGCGACTGCACATGAGCGCGGCGCTTTTGGCATCTCATTGTGGTTTCCATGAAGCTTCCAACTTTGAACTCTGAACTTTTTGTGGAGTCTGAAAGTTTAAACTATTAAACTGAGCTCATTGTCGCTCGAGATTTGCTGCACCCCCCACTGTATTTCTAAGCAAAGAAAGAAATGCCACAGCTCCAATTGACATTTAATGGGAGGCTTATGATTGATCACACGGGCAGTAAAGACATCAAAGTTTTCTGCTTCACTTGGACTCCCGTCTGAGTAAGACAATAAGGTAGCCCAGACAGTCTGTGTGTATATATGTGTGTTATTGTATATAGTTCTGAGCCTGTGTGGTGTGTGTGTACGTGTTGGTGGCACTGAGGGAGGGCCTCACATGGCGTCTAGCATACTTGTTCAGGGGAATTTCAGAAGTAAAGGTGGCGTGAGTGAGTAACAGCAGAAATAACGGACGCACAGCTTCATTAGAGATCAAAGCTCTACGCCTGGCGTAGCGACGGCGGCATCAGCTAATGATGGCCGAGCTTCACTCTCATTCTACACTAAAAGGGCTCTTACGCTTTGTGTCTCGTAATGATCGGGGGCTTTAGTCGAATCCCACCGTAAAAAGAGGCTTTGTTGAAGCTTTGTTGTCACTAATAAAAAGTGTGCCTGCTATGAGCACACATGGAAGGCTGATAACTGCACTCCCACACACATGCTAACAGGCACCAAGCCAGTAGATGACAAACATTTAGACTATGCATATACAGGCATCAGTGCGCACACAGACACACAGACACACAAATAGACATTGGCGTGCGCGCGTAATCTCATAAGGAGTGCTGCTGGGCCTGGTCTCAGTTTCTCCCTTCGCAAAACTAAACTGTACATTCGAGTTAAAGCTTGAAGCTTCGAGCTGCTGTGCGCTTCCAAAGACTGGTTTTATTTCGTCATCTATCTGTCGAATGCATTTACGATCTACATCTCAGTTATTTAGCAGACCGATTCATCCGCAGGGAGCCCATGGTCACTGAGAGTGCACAATCAAAGACTTCATAACTTCATAAAAGCCCAGAGGCAAAGTCAAAACCATTACAGCTAGCGGGGCAAACATTCTCCGGCAATCAGAGTCAGGGTGATTTTGTACAGTGAGATGTGGGAGCATGTGTTTGGCCCTGATGGTGCAGCAGTGATGAGCTCGGGGCACTTGGAGGTGAACAAGCAGACTGGGCAGAAGTCTGAAGAGGAGGTGGTTAGGAGTGGGAGCTGGAATAACACTGCTATTTCCCCCCACAGCTGCCATCTAAACAGAGAAAATAGGTCGGAGTTTATGTGTGTGTCTGTGTGTGTCTGTGTGTGTATTCATAAGCTGTCATAACTGTTTAGACTGTGTTTCATTCCTCTGGAGTCAATCAAACATTCTCAGCATCTGCTTGCACCATCTCTGTAGTCAGTGCAGGCTGCAAAAATATCCTCCTTAATAACTCATTTAGCCTGAAAGTAAGTCCTGTCTTGTTTTAGAACACTTCTGTCAAAATGACTTCAAATGTTCTCAGTGAGCAGAATGAACACTGTCCTGAAATGATGTGACACCAAAGAAACATTTGATTTTTCATGAGGAAAAAAGTGAAACACTCTCATAGCACAGGCAGCATACATTCTGTATTTGAAAAAAAAAAAAGCACATATATAACACAAATAGTACCTGCATGCAATTCATCTGAAATATGAAAATGAACTCACAGCAGTCGAAGTGAGTGCAGTCCACTGAAAGCCATTTTGGGGATACAGCGCAGCGAGTTATAGCTCAGAATTCTGCAAAGTAAGATCGTCACAAGTGTCAAATTTAGGTAGAATTAAAACAAAACCTTTCTAGTTGCAGATAAATTAAAATGACAGTCAAGGCTGGTTAAGACTTACAGAGTGGTAAGCTGACTCATGTTAGCGAAGGATGAGTTGGTCAGAGAGTTTATCTTGTTGTTGCTCAGGTCCCTGAAACGTAAAAAAGGAAACCATTCACTGTACTGATGAATACCAGGGGTGTCAAACATAAGGTCCGGAGGCCAGAATTGGCCCGGCAAAGACTCCAATCTGGCCCACTGGATGACTTAGGAACAAGAATTTTGGACTGTAATAACCGATAAAGCAACATTTCTTTGTGTTGTAGAAAAACTGACATACTTGAAATTGCACTTCTTTTTATGGCATTAATAAATCTCAGGGATTAAATGTGCAGGTAAACACAAAGGCTTAACATCAAAGCTAGCTGTATGTGGCCCATGGTGTAATATAAGTTTGACATCCTGGATCTAGACCTTGTAATTGAAGATGTACACAGACAAAAAACTTACACCAGCTGTAGGTATTTGAAGGCAGACAGTTCCTTTGGAACAACACTGAACTGGTTTCCATCTAGATACCTGGACAGACAGACACAAATAGGTTTGTAATGAACCAGCAGGTGCTATCATTGAAAGATAGAACAGCTACAGCAGACTGAAAATATTTACCAGCACTATTTCTTAATGTATTTTCAATCTAAGATTCAACTGATCCACTCATGGCTCTGGTAACCAGTTGGCTACTGTGCTGACCTAGCTTCTGGAGGTGAATTTTATGGAGGATCCACAGTAACCAGAATATTGGGATAGTGAAAAAATGAATAAAAGAGAAATCATTATCAGTAGCTGATGATTACAGTGCAATCCCTGTTTTACTCTTCTACACACTATTTAACTGCATCAAAGCCTGCTCAAACAGGATTGTTAAAAAAAAAGTTAGAACTTCAATCAGTCTACAAATGAAAACCAAAAAGCTTCTGGTGTCAGATTCTGCATATTCATGTACGGATATCTGCTTACAAGGTTTTAACACAATGTTGCTTGTCAAGACTAGAAGTCAAGCATAGCAAGCATTCCACAGACATGCTGTTTAAGTAGTCCCATTTCACAGATACTGGGCTAAGAATCACTTCTACTGTGAAATAGTGACTAAGAAAAGAAGACAAATGTGTTACTTTCAGTGAATTTGCTTTTTTCTGATTTTCCAGTTTAACAACAATTCCTAAATGTGACCCGGCACTTTTAAAGTGATGTACAAACCCTTGTGTTTGTGTGGGCTATGCAAGTGAGTGATGTATACAAGGCGCACAACCACCCTCCTGATTACCAACACAAAGTCCTACTAGTGGTGTGTCACTTTGATAAATGGCCGGTTTAGGGCCTGGTCCTTCTGAGCAGAGCTGCAGGCTCCTGCTATTGTTCTTGACTGTACACAGGGTGGGAGGCGCAGGGTGCGTGGGTGCGGGGAGGTGGGTAGTTAGGAGGCCTTTGGGTTCAGTGGTAATGATAGGTAATGACGGTGCTGAGGACACTTGGGATAATGATGGAGTAGCAAACTCTCCAGATGACAAGATGAAAGCCCAGAACAGAGGGGCACACCTGGTCACACCTGCTGGGACAATGACAGGCCTTAAGGCTCGCACAGCGTGTGTGTGTGTGTGTGTGTGTGTGTGTGCCTGAGTTGGTCTGAACCACTTTAAGCATTATTGGAAAGTTCCAGACCTATTCCATTTCCTCCCCTTTCCATTGAAAACTGCTCATTAAAATGTCCTGTTGCTCCCCTATGCTCCTGTGGACAGGCTTTTGGCCCTCACACAAATATTCACGCACACACACAAACACACACACTAATCCTTGGCTCTGAGTGTGAGAGTGACATCAGTGCTAGCCCTGAAGGCCGTGAGGAACATAGAAGAAGAATGTCTGAGAGAATAACTACAGGGTTTATTGACTCCTTTCCTATTCCCTAAGTGACGCGATGTGTTTTCTTTGCCCCTGCTGTTAACACTTATCTTTTTTAGAGGCTCATAAAGTCCACTTTACGTTTGTTTTTTAATGATCTTCCTTGCTTTTAAGGAAAGATGAGGCGAAAATAATACCTGATAAATATAAATGCAATTGGAGCAATTAATTCCAAAGAACTCACAGTTCCGTCACATTCCTGGGGATGCCTTTGGGCAGTGTGTGAAGGTGCTTGTTACTGCAGCGCACCACAGTCTCCAAGCATGTACATTCACTGGGACACTGGGGCCGAGGCACACAGCTTGTCTCCTCTTGGCCTGGGATAAAAGAAGAGAGATATGAGAGAGGAAGACAAAGAAAACATGACCATGAGGGCAGACGTAAATGGAAACAAGCCAAAAAATTGCTGTTTTTTCTGACAAAAAAACCCCCAAACTTTAGATAGAGTAAAAATAGAAAGCAAACCGAAAGACAGCACAGCATCACAATAAATTAAACCTGACAAGGCACTGAGAAAATAAAGAAGGAAGAAGTAAAAGATGTGTAAAGCACAAAAACAAAAATTAAAGCACAGAAAGAGAAAGGAGAGTCGCTAATGTAGTATTGACCAGCAAAGGCAAAGAATGGAAGCTGCCTAAAGCCTGAAGACAGGTCTAACAATCATTCAGGTGCAAACAGGGTGACTGATCAATAAGGCAAACAGCTCAATAGCTCCACTCAGCATTTCATTGATCAGCAGCTTAGGAACTGCTGAGTATCAATCTATTCAGTAAACAAAAGACTCACACAGCAGTGGCCATTATTTGAGATTATCTCAGAAACTTTAAACATACTATGGGTTAAAATCTTCATCAGTCACACCCAGGTTAGTTTCAAACACAGAGAAGGATTAACATATCCTATTTAAGATGCTTTTCTCTTTTCAAGGAGGGAAAAACTCCACTTACACGGGAGCTGTGGTATAACGTGAAGTAAAGCACTCAAAGCAGCCTACCTTCCTCACAGCGGAAGTCAGGCAGAGCCACATCCTGGAGCGGGATCTCCTTCAGGAAGGCAGGACGCTGGCAGCGAGGGTTACCTGTTACAATCTTCCTGCTCCTCAGCCAATCACCTAGCCAGGCCAGCCGACAGTCACAGTTGAAGGAGTTGGCCAGTAAGTTACTGGGAGAGAGTGAGAATAAAACAGACTGTGAGAGCAATAAAACCTAAAATTAAAGCTAGGCGTGTGAGTGTGGCAGGATCTTACAGAGTGGACAGAGTCTGGAGGGTGTCGAAGGCTCCGGGTGCGATTGTGGTCAGCTGGTTGTCATACAGAGACAACAGACGGACGTTGTGAAGCCCTGTGAAGCTGTCATTGTGGATACAGCTGATCTTGTTGTTCCTCAACATCCTGAGGACAAAAGAAATACACATTAATAAAAAAAAAACCCATCAGAAACTTTTCCAAATATGGACAAGTATGGGGTTGCGACTCACAACATTCGCAGTCCCTCAAGGCCGCGGAACATCCCACTTCGAACCGAGTCCATCTGATTGGCTGTGAGGTGAAGCTCGTTGACAGAGGACGCGCCTTCAAATGCCCCATCCTCAATCTCTGTGATCTTGTTGTTGCTGAGGTTACTGTGTGTTTGTGGGGGGAGAAAGAAAGCATGTCAGAGAATTAAAAGCAGCACTTACTCTTTAGAGAGTGACTGCTGAAAGGTAAGAGGATTTCTACTTACATTTTCTTCAGCTGGGAAAGGTTCTTAAAAGCTCCAGTTGCTTCCAGAGTTGTAATCTCATTGTTGTTAAGGCGGCTAGTGGGAATAAGATTGAAAGGTTTAATCATTCAGACGGAAAAATCCATTCAAATTCTCTTTAGATATTCACTGTGAGTTTTAAAATTTGATTCGTCTACAACTTCAGCGCACAACAGATTCTTCAAATACTTTTTTTTTCTTGTTCGCTTACAGTTCGGTGGTGGATGCGGGTATGTGCTCGGGGATTTTGGTGAGCTTAAGGTTGGAGCAGTCCACAACATTCGACTCACAGCGGCACTTGGGAGGACAGACTGGATCACTGTTACATGCATTGTTCAGATGGCTGTCCTCTGTGCCTGAAAAGGAGAAAAAATAGACATTGTTACGGCTCAACATATAACATGAGTCATTCTTCCAAACCAGCATAAGTGCCTTCAATCCCATGATGTTTGCTGTCACGCATGCGCCCCCTCAGCAGCTGTGTGTCAGCAGTTTGTCCTGTTGTGACCGAAGAGGAGACTTCCCTACTTTAGGGTACCTTAGGTGCCCTATAGAGCATCCTGCAACCCTCCTACCATTGATAGGAGAAGATGAATGGGTGAGTTACTTTAGAGAGAGGTGATGGAGCATTGGGGTGAAAAGAGAGAGGATTTGGACAGCCAGCTTGAAGCAGACCACCCAAGGGACAGAGGATGAAGGAAGAAAGGAGGATGAGAGAGGCACAGGAAATGACAGGTGGATTTGAAGGAAAGGAGAGAGAGGAAACAGATGCAAAAGGAGGAAAAGAAGAAAGACGAAAGAGAAATGAAAGGTGAGGGGCGGACGTGCAGAGAGACGCCTGTCCTGATAGAGCAAGAATGAGGCAGCGAGGGGAATGTGGGACGTTTTCCTGCACCTCCTCTATCTATGAATAGATGTTACGTGCCAAAAAGTGTGCTTCAAGTTACATCATGGCTGCTCAATAATGAAAAAGCACTGGGAGCTACTTAGAACAGTGTGTGTTTGTCTGTGAGTGTCTATTGTGCCCCAGCGTCTGTGTATGTATGCATTTATACGTGCATTTAGAGCGTATGTGTGTATATGTTCCATTTAGAGGGAAAAAGACGGAATTTGTTTTAGAGCTTTGTTTTGTGTTCCATTCCCCTTTTGCATGCTCACATCAGTGCACCATTCTGCCTGAGGTTTAGCGATGACGTCAGTGGAACCGCACGGGGCACCCAGACCACAGTCATGAGCAGGAAAACCTCAAACAACCAGGACAAAATCCTACAGTTGAATATCAAAAATCTGTCCAAACACGACCTAATCCCAAAACCTCATTGCTGACTTTATTAGAATACCTTTGGACAGTGACAAAAAAAAATTCCCAGAAACCACTTCCTCTTGTTGGCTGTGCAAAAAACATTTTTTCTGGAGCTGTGTCACTTCTCAGTGGCTCAGCGGAGCGGAGGGTGCAGACAGACACGGTAATGCTGGTCATTAAGGAACTTTTCCCTCGCTAGGCCAGACACAGGAAAAGGCATTTCCTGCGATGGAGGAAGCAATGAAAATACAGCACAGAGCTTTGATCTCGAGGATGTAGAGGAGCCAGGGGAGAATTCGTGAGCCTGAGTCATCGTCATCGTCACAAGTGTCGTGGTGGTGACACTTTTACTGTCAGCAAATTTACACGAAATCAGAGAAAATAGAGGGCAGAGGGATGAGGTTTTTCCCTCTCTGAGGTGCAAAGTGACTCATCGCTGGAGTTGCAGAAGTTCTCATAAATCTCTGCAACTCGGCCCCCATTATCAAAGTTACTGAATTCCCATGCTATCAGTGATTTGGACGTGTGTTTCCATTGTGGAAGCTTTAATTGTTATCAGTCAGGAGAGGGTTAAATTCTTATTAATCACGTTCTGCTTTGATCTTCTTTCTGCTTATATAGGACTCCCATTTGTTCTCTAAGCCAGTGCAAGCTTTATCTCAACTTAGCACACAAAGACACATTAATTTCCACACACGTACACACAGATATACAAGTGTAGACAATGAATCACCCAAGCATACGCAACCCCACTAAGGCACACGCACATACACACACGCAGACTTTGACACACATCACTGCTCCTCCCGGTTATTTTCTTGGAAGTGCTCTTGTTAAGAGGTCCGGAAACATCCGCCGATAGGAATCTCAGTCCTCTGGTGGGCTTTATTTTCTTTAGCTTTTACTGATAGAAAGGACACACTTTCTTTCCCCCTCTGTCTCGCTCCCTCGGCCTCCTTTTCTGTCCCTCTCTGTGACTGACTGTCTGTGCTAATGCCAAAGCAAAGACACATTTCCTTTGGACTATCTGCTGAGACTGTTAGGGAAACAAAGTTGAGACGAAACAGATGCTCTCACACATATATATCACATTAAAATTCACACATAGGGGCAGTAACTCTTGGGCGCTATTAGGTATTCTCGTGTGCACTTTTATCTTAAGTATCTCAACAAACGGCAAATTTTACTTGTCACTTTAAAATTGCCAAGGTTTTTTTTTTTGGTTGTTATTTTTGAAACAGCGAAGGGAAAACTGTTGTCCAGACAATATCTTCTTAAGGAAAGGCCTTGCTTATTTCAGCAAGACAATGCCAAAGCAAATTTTGCACAACACGGCCTGCCCTGCTATCCAAATCTATCAACCAGTAAAACATTATGTGCTTTATGAGACAGGAATAATGACAAAGGAGGCCATAACCTGCAGAAATAGTAGATCAGGAAAGAGGAGGGAAACTTTTTGCTTTTAAACCTACAGCGATTGCCGTCTCCAACTGCCAAATGCTTACTGCCTATTTTCAAAAGAGGTGATGCAACACAGTTATAAGTGCTGACTTATTTTGATATTTCAGAGCATGTTGCTAAATCAAATTCAGATTTTTCATAAAAATTGACATTTCCCACACCAAACATTTGGCATTGTTTTCTGTTAATTACATAATTTTAATTGGCAAATCACTGATTCCTACAATACTTCCACATGAGTTTGGCTAACCTGCATGTTCATATCCAGCATGATCATCTAAATGCTTGCTGTTCTTTCTGACTCAATTATAGCATTTTTAGAAATGATTGCAAATATACAAAAGTAATGCCCGGGCTGTAATAAACTGAATATTTTCCCTTTAATTTGTGGAGAACTTTGTTTAAATGAATAGTAAGCAATGGAAAAAGTGATGCTGGTAGATGGCTGCAGGTGGAAAATTAGAGAAACGACAATGATAGGGGTGAAGGTTTACAAGCCACTCACCTGGGATGACGTACTGCTCTTTGGCTGTGATGGAGAAAAGAAAGAGGGACGGATGTCAGTGAGACCACTCTGGTCTGCATAGCTTTGGCACTGCTATGCTTCATATCAGTCATATATAAAGTTTATATATGACGACACATGATTTAAGGTATATGACAATTAAACAGAGAAGCCTAGGACTATCTCTGTGTGGCAATATGGAGACACTGGTAACAATGTAAAAAGGTGGTAAATATTTGGCTGTTGCTAAGGAAGGGTGACATGAGGGGAAAGAAGGAGACGGTGAGAAAGAAGGAAAAAGTCAAAAAGGAAAAAAAAAAAGTAAAAACAAAGAGAAAAAACACATGGACTCCCTTCTCCACCAGATCGAGTCAAACAAATGAGTCTATAAAGAAGTGTGAAACCTCAGCAGGTCAGGATGCCAGACAGCGTAGCAAAGTGTGTACACACAATGGTGGGCATACAGTGGAGGGAGTGGGAATGGTGGAGTCTGGCTAGTGTCATGAAGAGGAGAGAGAGAATAAGGGGCCATGAAGGAAACATGAGCCCGGTGGGTAGTGAGCAATGAAGAGAGCAAGAGGAGACAGAGGCTGGTAGGGATGGGAGCCTATGACTGGCAAAGGGCAGGAGAATGGTGGGCACAGGCAGAAACTCTAAGCCCTAACACCAGCCTGGACTGGTGATCTCAGCTCACTGCGGTTTGAATGTGAAACCAGACTCACGATGTGGTATTATGCAGGGAAAGTGGAGAAAGAGCAAACAATCCCTCTCTCCTTGGCCCCAAGTTCATCTGGGCAGATATTGATTGAGTAGCAGCAGCACAGCAAATGATAGGCAAAGTAAAACCTTCTGCCGGGACTGATCGCTCATTGAATGCGCTATCATGGAGGGGATAAAAGTCACTCCCAGCAGAGAGAAAGACAGAAGGTCAGCGAGGAGCAGCGTGAGACAAGTGGCATAAAAACAACAAAGCCTGTCTGAGAAATAGAGAAGACCAGCAGGGATGAATTTCAGCAGAGTGACACGGAGCCACCGGCCTACCAGAGCAGCGGAACTTCTTGCTCTTTATTTGCCCGATGCGTTTGTTTGCGAGCCGCCGTGGGCTGGCGCAGCGGGCGCCGCTCGTCTCGATTGGGTTGGTGCGCAGGTAGTCGGCCAGCCACTTCAGATTACAGTCGCAAATAAATGGATTCTGGGCCAGGTGACTGGAAAAAAGTTGAGAGAAAAAGACAGAAGAAGAAAGGGAATAAATACATGAAAACTGATGTTCATGTTTGGGCACAGACTCTCACCTGGAACCACAGAAACACATACCTGAGCAATAATTTAAGATTAAGACACATTTATTATCCAACCAGACTGTTTCTGTGTCATTTGTTCACTTTGGAAGACATATAATAGAACTAAATAGCGCTCTCTGAGTAGTGTTTTGTAGTGGGAAAAACAATCCATAGCTGATTTTGTTGTTAACTTCGAGCAGCATCCAGCTTACGTAGCCAGTCTGGGGATGCCAGAGACTGGTAGAAACGCTCATTGTGCACTTCCATCCCGTATTTTCAATGCAAGTGTAAAAACAAGCTTGAGACACTTTAATACAGTGCTGTTTACGTTTGTGTGTATGTGTGGTGAGACAAGCCATAGCACCATCATCATCACCACTATCAACCTCAACAGGTGTTTCTTTGACAATGAGAAAACCTTATGCTGTATATTTTAGATGCCCGTCTGGTGTCTGTATTGATAGCAGTGTTTGTGTTGCCTTGTTGCTTAGGACAGAAAAAAGGAGACATTAATTTCAATGAATTGGTGTTGTCTCCGTAACAGTGGTGGAAAGACTGGGTGTGGTAGATGTGCTGCTTTTGATCTCTATCTAGCTGGAGAAGCTGTGTGTGTGTCTGGGTGTTTGTGACGATGATAGATTTACTCACCTCTCTACCTCCTGATTCCATTCCTGTGTTATTACACAGACTTGCAAGTAAACAACTCCTGTGTTGGCTCATGTTTTATGGTAACGGATCAGCATATGTCAGAGCGTGTGTGTGTTTCAGTGTGTGTGTGTTTCACTCACAGGGTCTGTATTGCTCGTAGTGAAGTGAAGGTGCCCTTGGCGAGGGTTTGGATCTTGTTGTCATAGAGCGATAGCAGCGAGAGATTCTGCAGGTCCTGGAAGGCGTTGGCACGAACGCAGTGAATCTTATTGGCATTCAGCAACCTGAGAGAAGGGGAAAGAAAAGAAAAGTAGAAAAAAAGGAGGGAGGGAAGAAGGAAAAAGCAACTTGTCAGAATTTTTTTATGTATTCATTCATTATACATTCCATCTAGAAAACTATGCATAGGAACAAAGTTTATTTGAAGGTTATGACTTCTTTACTGAGTAGGAGTACAGGGTGCCTGGTATTTAATATATGCCCGCAGAGTGTCTTGTGTGTGTGTGTGTGTATGTCTTTGTAATCCACTTACAGAAGTTGTAATGCGTAGAGGCCGTCAAACACCCCCTTAGGTAGGTCGGTGATCTTATTTCCATACAGCACTCTGCAAAATCACAACACAGACTCGCTTTAGTCAGAATATGACAGCCCAGTGGCTCCTCATGCACAAGCTCAGCTCGGGGCTACTTACAAGGAGTTGAGGGACCGCAGCCCCTGGAAGGCATCAGGAGCTATCTCTGAGATCTGGTTGTTGCTCAGATCTCTGTGTTGGAGAAGAACGCATTAAAATTAGTCAAGGAATTTGAGAATCTGGGAAAAAGGCCAGTTTCCTCTTTTTATGAAAAGCCTGACTCCTTTGAAGGTGGGGCGGATGCATGGCCCCTGCTTCTCGCTGGCATCAAATATAAGCAAACGTACTGCGAGCTGGATGAGGATGACTTCCAGCTTTCTCCCATATTTAATGGTGCATCTCTTCAAGGGAGCCTTGGAGCCAATCAAAACATTTACTTGTATTATTAGTGGCAAACAACCATTCTTCTGCTGCGTTGCTATGTGTATGTGTGCATGTGCATGTGTGTGTGTGAGAGAAAGAAAAATTAAAAAAATGTGATGCAGGGCCAAAATCCAAAGTGAAATACGGTAGACTGCCTCTGAACATAGCTGTTGCTAATAGGATCCACAGGCCTCTCCCCACAGGATAACCACTAAGCCCGTGTGTCTATGTGTTTATGTGCGTGCATGTCTGTGTGAATAAATGCAACAGTAAACGAGGAACAGTGGGACAGAAATGGAGAAAGACAGATGGAGAGACAGAGTTAATGGAGTATGTGGACTGAACTCGAGTCGACTGGATACCTTTGAAGGGAAATCATCATGTGGTGAAGAAGAGGGATATTTTCTCATTTGGGGGTAACAGTTAAATAAGTGCCCATTTGTCTTTTTGCAAAGGACTGAGGTTTCCTGGAAATGAAAACGCAGCAAAGGAGCCAACATGTGCACTGGTGTGTGTCTGTAAACTCAGACACTAGCGTGTTTGCGCATGTGGCGGTGAGTGAGGCCGCTTGCTGCATCCCTGTCTAAAGGGATGGTTCATGTGTAGGTCATTCAAACTGGGACAAGGTGAGAGAGAATGTGTGGGGTTGACATTTACTGGAAGAAAAGGACATGCAGGGTCAGCACAAGCGGCGCACAAACCACGAATAGCAAACGCTCAGACAAGTGCACAATAGCCTTTAACAAACTTTTACTCAGCTGATTTTGCCTCTTAATTAAATATTGAACCTCTCTGAGTGAGTCATTTTCCAGAAAGCCCGGTTAAGATTATATGATGAATCTGAAGAGACATTCATCATAATGTATAGATGCTGTCTGCATACTGTGTGCTCAGGGTGTAGGACATAGGACTGGCCTAGCCATTACGACTATATAGCCAGCTGAATCAATAGAGCCTCTAGGGTCAACAAAGATACATGACCATGCATTGTTGTTGCTAAAAGCAGAATGAGCAGCAGTAGCAGGTCATGTATGTTAAGAAGAACAGATCAAGACCACTGATTTAGATACATTTTGTCTCTGTTTTTGAGGCGTTCAGATTGGGTTTGGCACCTCTAGAAAAATCAGATAAATATGCCACTAATAGGGATGGCTGTAGCTCAGGAGGTAGAGCAGGTCATCAGCTAATCGTTAGTGGTTGGGTGCTCCAGTCTCCCATCTTTAGCATCCTTGGGCAAGATACTGAACATCAAGCTGTGTCCAGTGGAGTACGAATGTATAGTTATAGAGACGCATACCGCATTCGCTTGTTTGAATGAGCTATGTTGTACAAAGTGCATGAGTAGAAAAGCACTATATAAGTACCATTAATTTCCTGTAAGTCTGAGCTTAGGGTAGGGTCTCTTGTGCTTGTGAATCGCTTTGAACTGCATTTGATTTGCTTGAGAATGACTCTGTCATTAAATCTTCAGTGATTAGTTGCTTGAATAGGATGTAAGTTGCTTAATTTGTTGCATTTCTGTACCAGGTTCAAGTTTTTATGCATTTGTTGCATTTGTAATTCAACAAAAAACCCTGCTTTAATTTCTATGTATATCTTTAAATGGTTGTAACAATATTCAGTTAAACATAATGACTTTTTTCTTGTTGCTAATCTTACTGTTACTGCAATACCTTTTTAGTTTAAGGGATTTATTCAAGCTTAACATAGACATTGGACACACCGGATAGTCTGGTTTGTCATTGCTGACATTTTTTCCAATATATAGTATAGCCTCAAACAAAAAAAATAATTATTTTTAGTATAAAATATAAAATATTTTGGGGATTACCTTGGAGCTACATTAAGACAGCAGCTGCTTTGCTCTGTCTACTGCTCTCTGTTCACCTCATCTGAACTTCAAACTGTCCCCGGGGATGGATGATAAAACCGTGAGAATTCCTTTAAGAAGGACAGAAAAACTCCCTGACCTCCGGTTTCCTCCATCTCCCTGCTGCTTTGTCAGTCAGATCTGGTGGTGTTGGAGGTACGGGTTTGGCTGCCTGGTTGTGTGCTGGCTAGTTGGCTGGACAGCTGGCTCAACGGGTGAAAAACCACTCCGTGTTTAACTGCCCGCCTGTCACTGTTCAGAGAACGAAGCCTCAGCCCTCATTCCAACACACTCTCTGTCCCCTCATCATCATCGTCCCAGCCGGTGGTTTGCAGTTTGCCCACGCAGGCACACAACACACACACTCAGACTGGACACAACACTAACCAGGGGAATACCAGTATATAGCACTAAAAAATGAGAGCTGTTATTACGCTCATGTAGGATGTGAGTGCTTGCTTTCCATGCCACCAGTCTGAGAACAAGAATTTGTTCTTAAGGCACAGACAAAATAAATACTTCATGCTCCCTGGATGTGGAATGAGAAGACCGCCAATTGTCGCTTCTTTTTCCAGCCCTAAACTTCTAGTTCTCATCTGTATTATTTAGCCCTGAGGGTGAGTGTACTGATGTACTTACATCCTACGCAGTTTCTTGTAGGGAGAGAAGGCTCCGGGTGGAACAGACTTAATCCCATTCTGCTCCAGACGTCTGAGAGGAGAGAAGTGGAGAGGAGAGGAGAAGAAGATATAGTGTTATTTAAACAAACAATAGAGTTCTCCATGTTAACAGAGTTGAGTAATCACCTCCGACCCTTAGTGATTGGCCTGATTATATTAGTGGAGATCTATTCCCCAGCTGTAATAGGTCCAGGCATGTTGGAGTCATAACATCCTCAGAACCAATAAACAGTGTGAATGCTAAAGTGCTGAGGAATAGGACTGGAGGGGAAAATGCTCGGTCTTGGTTTGTGTGAGAGTGTTAAGGCCTTTTTTAAAAAAAACTAAAAGTCATATTTCTTTGTGAGATAGCATTTACAGTTTCCAGCACTTATGTTCTCATATGTGATCCTGAGATCAATAATGATCTCACTTGTTCTTGTTAAATTCGCTGTTATCCTCAGGGTGTCTGCAAAGTGTCTACTGAAACCTTTGCAGCAGGGTGAAATATTGCTTCTTTGAGTTTACTTTTTCCTCTGAGCCTAAGAGCTGCTGAAGTAAAGTTGACAAGGAAAGCGCTCGGAAAAAAAATCTTACCATAAAACAACTGTCAAAGAATGAAATTAATACACAGACAAACATACACTTGGGCATGTAGTACAGAGCAGTAACCGACTCTAATCAGTCTCAGATGTGCCCAGGGAAATAGACATCCCATTAGAGCGGGTATGCATATGTGCGTTTCAAACTGCTACTTAGGACCCAGCTAAGTCCCAGACCAATTCCCTTGTGTAGCTGGCAGAGGGCTGTTTATCTGCAGGTCAGTTCACAGCTTTTAAAACTGTCCTTACCAAGGCTTAGCAGGGCCCAGAGGGAGCCAGCTGCAAGCCTGTCTGGTTGGTCTACCATTCTGCCTCCCAGCAGAGGGACTGGCTGCAGACCATGAGGCATGGGCCTGCGGTGGGCGGGCGGTTACGGCAGAATCTAAAAATCATTAAGATGCTATTTGTCACCACAGGGAAATGAGAAATATTTTAAAATCTGCAAAACTCTTTGGCCAAAGGATGGCTGTTGATAGATTTAACCATCACCTTCTTAAGTATGTGACTTCTTGGCGTGCAACCATTTCCACAGGATTTAATTACTCCGTTAGAGGCATTTCAGATTTACTACATGCCTCTTAGCCCTTCTGCATTGCTATGTTTATTTCTATCCATGGGGGGTAAATGTTTTGTTGGGACATTAGCCACAACAGTTAACAATTTGGGGTTTCCACATTTTTTTATTATTTTTTGGGTAATCAAGAATCTTTCCCCTTCAAAAGGAGTGGCCTTTAAGGAGAGATATAGAAATCCAACTGACATTCTCAGGATAGCAGTGATTCCAGACCACAGATTCCTGTGGTGGACATGCTCTCTCTGTCTGTTTTTGTCTGAATGTCCCAGCGAGTCTGTGGATTTAGAGAGGAGTGACAGCACTGTGGTTCCTCTGCCCTCACCATGCGGCAGAGTGGTGGGCCAAGTGGCTTTAGCGCCTTCTCTCATCAACCAGTCTGTCCGACTGGTCCAAACCAGTCTGGCACTCTACATGATGTTTGTATGTGTATGCATACGTCTGCTGTGTATAAGCATGCCTACATGCTGTGGTATCCCGGTGTGTTTCTCTGAGCCAGACAAGGATATACACACACTGCCTGCCTGACAACTTTTAAGCTCTCACATTGTCACTCCTTCCAGATCAATATGTGGAAGCGACTTAATCCCTGCAATCAACACAGGAGCTACTCCGTCCAATTGGCAGACAGGAAAAAAATAAGATAGAATCTCTCAGAGTTGCCAGTGGACAGACGATCAATGGTTCGCATCCAATTTATCAGGCTCAACATTTGTATGTGTGTCTGAGTGTGTGTGCGTTCTCTTGTTTGTATCAGTCTAATCAATGTTCTTCATCCTTTTCATTAGGGCCTGGGCATGGTTTTCATTAAGGGGAAACACATTATGCCTTTGGGTATTCACCCAGTGAGTGCGTGAGTAAGAAGTAGATGGCAGAGCCATAGCGGTGTGGATGAAAGGCAGGGGGGAGAATTTTATGGCAGCATTCACTCATTGCAGACGGGGACTATGGCGCATAATAATCTGTTGTGGTAGCGTTCAGGCTAACTGGGCCTGGTTTCACAAGACAGAGGACCAGAAACCAGCTCACATCCTCGGCAGCCATAAACACAACACTGGCATTCATTAGGGTAAAACGGGGCAGAGAGGTTCGCAATCCTCCGATTTGTACATAATGAGAGCAGCATGCGTGTGTGTTCGTGAGTTACAGAGGGCCTCATTAACAAGGTATTAGGCTAGCCTTGATATCTAGCAGCCGCCCTTGCTGTAATTGCAACTGATTTTATAATGAACTTCAAGCACAGATCAAACCTGCTGCACCAAGTTACAGAACGGACCACCGCCTCAACCCCCTCCTTTTTAGTTATTTGGCGTTGATTTGTTTCCTTGAAATCCGGCAATGGGGGGAGAGAGGAAGGGAGGACAGAGTGAAATGTAGTGATAAAAAAAAATGAAGAGAGGAGGAGACATGGGTACAGGAAAGAAAATTGTGGGAATTAAACCTGTAAGGTAAGGCCCTGATGGGCAGGACAGAATAGGCACAATATAACAGAGTGATTTACCTTTGTGGTCTTGTAAAAGATGAGTCAGAGCATAGTAGAGTTTATTAGCAGAACACAGTAAAGCACCAATTAAGATGTGAAGGGCAGGGAAGGTTTTAACATGGCCTAACCCATCTGCTATCCAGATAGACTCCACTCTCTATAAAACATGTGCATGATAGAGCTATCCTTCAGAAGCTTCCCTGGTCACCCATTAGTGCAGCTCACTGGTTATTAGTCTCATAGATCATATCAGTGTGTATGATATCCCACTTGTGGAACATTACAACTGGAGGGCATGCTGAGGAGGTCTACAAACCATAAAACATTGCAAAACTGCGTCTCAATTTTTCCATGTTTTACAGTTTGTAGACCAGGACTAAAGATCAGGCTGAATTAATTATATCCCAAAAGTAAAAATGCAAGATGCCTGAAGCCTAGCTTTTAGAAATGTCTCTGTATTTCTTGGGTGGTCATTTAATTAGACAAGAACAAGAAGTGTGGACCAGCATGTCCAAATTAGGAAATTCAGAACGCCACTGCACTAGAAATGGGTCAGGGTTGTTGGGGAACATGGGATCTGTGACTTCCATGGTAGCTGGGTATTTATAAACAGACCCCATGGGGAGGAGGAGACCTAGAAACTTGCTGTGTCCTCCTAACGACACACATGCTCCTTAGAAGAACATGCAATGCGACCGCTGGCTTGCTCCCTTCATCCTCCTTTTTTCTCACCATGCATAAATCACAATGTTGCAGTGCCATTTCATGCGAGTGGCATGAAAGCCTGATAAAGAAAAAAAGACTCGTTTGAAAAGTCTAGCCATGCATTCCTGGGCCGTAAACAGTTAATACTCAGACAGATGTTGGAGGGTTGATAAACTGAGGGAGGGATGTTAGTAAAGCACTCGCATGTGGTTCACAGCCATCTGAGCTGATAAGAGCATGCAGTTTCAATCTAGAGTCGACCGTAAGACTGTATGTGTCGTTCTCAGTGCACAGTAAAATGATAAATGCCCTGCCAGGTGATTCATGCTGAAAAAACTAACCCAGAACAGCATGCGTACATAAAACAAGCATGCTCATATCTCCCCCGGCCTTGTGAAACCCCTACAATTAAAGAAAATGTTGACTGATGCAAAGAGAATTAAATTAAGAATGTTAAGAATTTTTGAGGAGTTTATAATGAATCTTTTCCATGTCAGTCACTCGTCCATGAGAACACTCTGCAAAGAATTATGGACATTTGTGATAGCTGCAGTGCAGCAGTCATGAAAAATGTATATTTCTAAAGTTTTCAGGCAGTATCAGATTTTGCACTTATTATTTTTCAGACACAGATGGTTTTTATTTGAAGACTTTTTTTTCTTTTGTAAAAGCTTTTTTTTGTCACATGTTTGATAAAGAAAGAAGTAGTGCGCTCACATTTCAGCCATGCTCTCAGGCAGGTTTGCTGGGATGGCAGTCAGACCTTTTCCTCTACAGTCCACGATGTTGTTACTGCAGGTACACATGGCAGGACAAGAGCCTCCACCAGTGCTGCAAGGCTGCGGGCTTGAAGACTCCTGGTGTCCTGAAGAGACAATCAGAGGGAAGGATATGCATAAAAGAGAGGAATGTGGAGCTGCTACAGGTGTGTGAGCACAGGTGAATTTGTTGGTTTCAGGATAACAAGATGTAATGGATGTAATTGCTGGAGATCTTTCTGTGGTGATATAAAAGCCCCTCATGCTCCTAATTGAGGCTCAAACTCTTATGCGGCTACTCAAGTCATCAAGCCTTTGTGTTTTATAAGCTGAATTGCAAATGAACACGCATTCCTAGGGATGAATAAAACAAATAAAAGAAAAAGACTTACATAGCTTTTAGAATCAGTGGGTAAGAAACTAGGTTATATATCAAAGCAGTGCCGAAGTAGATGTAGGGGAGAGAAAGCGCTTGAATGAGCTGGAGTGGCAATTGAAGGTCTCCCAATAACATCCATTGATCTCTTCGCAAATATTCCTCCTGAGTCTGCGTTCTCTGGGAAGAACTGATGCCATTCTGCACATTCAGCTTTACAACCCCCCACCTCTCCACTTCTAAAAAGCTTCAACTTTTTAATTTGCATACAGAGCACGCAACCCGTCATACTGTCTCTAGATACCTGTTCAAATAGCTATGGCACTGTCAACAGTGTGGTGAAGAGCAGGCGCTTGCGCTGCCAGTACAGCGTGTTTGGTGTGTGCGTACAAGATGTGTGTACGCAAGTCTAACCCAGATAAAATGAATAAAACAGACTTTTAAATGGCCTCATTTACACAGCATTACTAATCCAAGTTTCAAACCATGAATATTTGATCGCGTTCCTATCTATCGCTCAGCTTGTGTGGAAAAATGTTGGCGAGAGAGCCAAGTGGGAGTAGACATTCAGCGAGAGGAAGACAGAGTGAGTGATGGTGAAAGTCGGTGACAGAGAAAGCATAACTCCAGAATCATTATGGTTTACCATGAAATTACTGGCGCGAGCGTTTGGACCATTTAGCTAATAAGACATGTTTAAGGTCAGACTTCATACATCTGGTCAATCATAATCAATTACCTGATGGGACGGAATGCTTCGACACATCTGGGAATCAAGTCAGCGATTATCATCGCGAGTGTGACACTGGTACAGTCCCTCAGCACATGTGATATGAGGCACTGTGATCAGAGGACGGCAGAGGTTTGACAGATCTGGGATCAGGTGTAGGGCAGAGAAAAACTCGCTTCTGATCCAACATGGCATATCTGACAGGCCTGGGATCAGGGGGAGTGCAGAGCACAGCTGGAGCGCCCTTAACAATGACAGCTCTGTGACAGGTACACTTGAGGTGAAGCTGTTTGATGTTTGCTCCTCCCCTGTTTTTTTTTCCTGCCTATCCCCCATTATCTCTCCAATTCGCCTTCTCTGCTACCCAGTTACCTTCCCATTGCCCTTCTTTAATTTGCTTTCCTTCTTCCAGCAGTTTTCCCCTGCTCCACCTGTGCTTTCAGACTCCCTTTTAACATCCTCATTTTCAGCCTCTTTATCACTGTAACCATTAGCTTCTGTCCATGTGCTCACAAGTCTTGATATTTAACTCCCCTCCATCGCTGGCCTCTTCCCATTTGTCTCCTCTGCAGTTTTTTATAGGGTAATTCCTGTTTCACACTACAAGAGCTGTATTGTATTCAACCCTGAAGCAATTTATTATTAATTATTCATCTCAAACACAATATTTTTACTTTTGTATTATATTGTGAGAGCAGTTATGCGGTCGAATTAGTCATCCATTTTCTGTCATATAGAGCATGATGTTGGCACAAGAACCTTTTAACTTTGGGTTTGATCTGCTGCAAACGATCATGGGAGTTATGCGTAATGTTTGGTTTGAATAAAACAACACACAGAAAAGCCCATGAAGACAAACGGGAGTAACTGTATCCTAAAGCAGAAACTGACGCTTGTGCAATTGGCTACAGCTAAGGGGAAAAAAGATTTTCAGCCAGATTTCAAACCTAAAAACCTTTTTGAAAGAAACAAAATTGTTTGAAGAACAGAAAATGCATCTCGCTGCAGAAATTTGTGAGATAACGCAAATGAGTGACTGGTTTTGCACAGCAGTCCCTTCAAGCATTTAGAAAGTTAAAGAAGGAGTGTTTATTCTGCAAATGTTGTTTAAAATCCAATTTTCACCTGGATTTAGTACTTTTTAAAGCCGCTTTTCCATTTTTTTTAAAATCATTAAGTAATAGTATACAGCACACAGCAATGTTTTTTTAAACTGTTAAAGAATGACCCCATTTTTAAAGGGGACTGATGATAAATCACTGCCTGGAAAAATATTTTTCCTCAAAGCGAAGCAGTAAATGTGTTACTCTGCTCATTACAGGCAAAAATTTACAATACAGTGGTGCTTTCCAGCCTAAAACTGGGACTGAAAGAAAGTGAGTCATAACACAGGGTGCTGCAGAATTTCATCATATTTCGAATCGATGAATAACACACTGTACCCCGTTTTCCTTCTCCTGCCTCTCATAACAGCAACATGCCTCACTTCTCCATCTTCTTTTCTTCCAACACAGCGCCACCCCGCCCCAAATCCCCCGCAGGTGGCCTGGCCTGGTCACAGCTCACACTAAATACACGCACAACCACACAGTGCTGAACATCAAAAATACTAACCCCCCCCCCCAAAAAAAAACAGGAGTATGTGTGTGCCAGCAAGCCAGTCCCTAATGAGTCCTTCACTGGGAGTTCAACTTCTGGTCACTCATCCTCTCAAGAAGAAACTGGGAGTATGTGTTTGTGTGTGTGCATCACTGTGTACTTACACACACAAACACATAGTAGCGGTAGATTTCCTGCTGGTGTTAGCAGGCACAAAAACGATCAGCTATTGACACTCTCAAAAAAAAGAAAAAAAAAATCAATGTTTGTCTGTCTACAACACTCCTAACTTTTTTAGGTATTTTTGCACAACAGCAGCTTATATGTATGCTACATGAACTACAGCTCTCCATCATTCGAGACCTCAACTTTCTGTATCAGTATCCTATCAGAAACCAAATTTCCCTGACACCCCCTGCTCCCCTTTCGTATCTGGAATCGTTACACTCCCACGCTTTGAGTCTCTTTCCCTGGGCGATGAATAGTTAATGATCTGTGCTGTCACGCCGTATGGCTGCGTAAAAATCACAACCCATGGAGAGAGACAGAGACAGAGAGAGGTACACACACACACACACACACACACACACACACACACAAACGTAGACACAAACACCCCTCGCAGCTGGTGTTGCAAGTGAGATGGCCTTGTGGGGAGTGGAGGTTCTCATGCTGTTTTTCCATTGTCCGGATATGATAACCCCAATGCACGGCATGACACACCCACATGCACATGCTCTCTCTGTCTCCCACACACACGTGCACACGCACACATGCGCACACACTGCAAAAGAAATAGTGATTTCAAAGCCACAATTATCCTTGTGCTAGAAGGTGAGAAGCTATAAATAATGACAAATTGAGGAGAGAGGGTCTACTGTCAATGGGGGCAGCCATCACTCCAGCTGTGTGCTGGGCATTTTCCTTGCAACAGCGCCAGCTCCTCAAGAGGTGGGCACTCATGCAAAGGCCAGAAGAGAGCATGGGGTTGCCAGGTTATCATGTGGCTGCCAGGTGAATACACATTGAAACAAAAACACAGGATACTTCCTGTGTTTTTGTGTCAGTGTGACCAGGGGAGCATAAAAGATTTACTCCACAGGGAGACGATGTCATAAAGAACTATTTTGTTTGCTGCCTTTTGCACAAAAAAAACTTTTAGAAAATGCATTGATGGTGGCCAAAAGTTCATTGTAAGTGTATCTTACCTGAGCAGCTGAATTCATGCTTCTGTACTTCTGCCACATTAAGTCCTCTGAGCTCAGGAGGGGCAGTGCATTGTGTGAATAAGCCAATTGTAGGCCTCTGCCTGAGCCACTGGGCCAACCACGCCAGGTGACAGTCACAGTTCAGATTGTTCGAGTGGAGACGGCTGTTAAATGACAGGGAAAAAAAAGAAAAGTTGATTGATTGAAGAAGTTTTCCTTTTCTGTCTAAAATACCACAAGCTGAAGACATAAATAGCATAAAACGTGTCTATTCTTTCCTACAACTCATTACATCCAATCCTTGTGGCAAAACACAAATGATACGCTGCACGGATGATTATAAATGACACTTACTAAAAAAGAGGAACACTAAAGAGGTCTTTTCTAAACCTACTCCAAACACTGCATTCCTGCAGTGCTGTGCCTGTCCAGAATAACTCTTGCCGTGGTGAGGTGGACCTCTGGAGCATGTGTGTTAACTCGCAAACCCATGTGTGCAGACACATGGTGTGCACACAAACAGAAAAGCCATATAATACTACCCCACTGGGAGCCTAAAATGTCACCGCAAGAGCAGTGGAGTCACGGTCCAGAGTTTCAGCAGGCATAATTGTTTTAATTTGTGCATAATTTCAGATTTAGTAATCACATACAATGCACAATACACAATAGACTTGTGGGGCTATTTGTGTCTATCTGGGCCAGTTGTTGTCTTTAGATGGAGGGAATAATGGCCCCTGGCATTGCTACAGACCCTTCTGTGGTACTCTGTGGTTATGGCTGCCACCCAACATTGACTGGAATGACAGAACCTGTCTACTCCCATTGAAATCACACAGGACTCGGCCCTTTCTCTACTTTGCCTGTTTGTGTGTGGAATATTGTTTTATTTTTATGGGAAATATCTCCGGATCAGTAGAAAAGTGGTGGGATTTGTGAGACTTACAAAGTCCGTAGTTTGGGCATGTGGTTGAAGCTAGAGACGGGGATGCTGCTGATGTTGTTGTTGTTCAGCGTTCTGTGAAAAAGAAAACAAGATTTTAGCATCAGTAAACTTTTTGGAATCAGTTCTCTTCTGTTCCGTCTCTTTGAAACTCTCGCCCTGTCTCTCTTTCTTCTCGTGGCCTATCAGGAGTCTAGCACCTTATTCCTCGCAGATGCAGACATTCATGCATGCAAATATGCACAGGCAAGCTCACAGTCCTGATCACAACACTTTCATCGAACTCTGGGCATCAGCTGCAGAAAGAGAATTGGGTCATTTCAATCAGCCTAATAACCCTTTGCAATATTTCAACCTGCTACCCCCTTTCAACGCAAGCTGTCCTCCTCCCCCCACGAACCTATAAATACAGACCCTATCAAAACAACCCCCTATCCCTGCTTGTACCACTGTGACAAGCCTACGACTATTTCCTCCATGTCATGACAGCAGCTGTCACTTTTTTCAAACCCTTCATACACAAACACACATGCAAAACAGCCTTTTACTATCAAAATAGCAAGCCTGTCAAAGTGCCCTCGTCCCCTGCCTGAACTGTAAGTCTAAATTGTTTCAGGTGGAGAGCTCTAACAGAAACCGCTTGGACACTTTAGACAAGGGAGGATTAATTGAATGTTCAAAAACTGCTAAGCATGGTCACCAATGCACGGAGGATTGAGTGCTAACTTGAATACGATTCTTTTCTTCTCTTTTTTTTTGTAAAATGGTAGGAACCCCCAAATGTCAGATGGCCTGCCCAGAAGTGGGTGATGTGTAGATGGAGGTGAAGTGGTGGGCGGGTGGGGGGTGTTAATGTGATCGAAGGGAACACTGCTGTCAACTGTGACTTAATGGAGCTTGGTCTCCATGATGCTGGCCCCCCTCGTGAGGCCCACAGGGGGGTATTTTGGTATAAGCCAGGCCTGTGCTTTGTTAGTTATGCTTATTAGCGAGGCCAAAACAATGTCTTAATTTAACTAAGTGCTTTAATGGAACAATAGAGGGCTGGGTTGGATGAATAGCATCACTTCAGATACTTACAGCACTTCCAAGCCTCTCAGAGCTCTGAAGGCTCCGTCCTCTATGCAGCTGATGTGGTTTTTATCCAGCTGGCTGCAGATCACACACAAGAGAGAGCTTTTGTTACACGAGGCACATACAGTAAACAATCTTTCCGCCTCCCTATAGGCTATTTGTAATCATGGGTACAGTGAGCAGAACACTGATGGATTGTGGTAAATCAATACTGGTTTAGTCATCTCAGCTCTTGTAACCCCAAGAGTAGCACTTCACTAATTGTTTATCTGCATCGATACACCTCATAAATCTACAGTATGTGTCCGTGCGAAGATGCAAATCAGTGTTGCTACAAGACGCCTTTGGGGAGCTATGTGTGTGTGTGAGCGTGTGTGAGGTAGATAGTCTACTTAATCAGTGTGATGCACAGTCTGCTGAAATTACACATACCGACATGTACATAATGTTTTACGGTTACCAAAGGCCATTAACCCGACTGGATAAATATTGCAAAATGTTCATTTACAGTAGCTTGTAATATAATAATTTATTCTGTATAATCTTGCTTGACTCTTCATTGACTTGCCATAACTGCAATGTTAGAATCATGTTAATAACTAATTAACCAGTTATTTTTTATACTTCCTTAAGCGACTTTTAATCACTTAACTGTTTCCATGTATTTTTCAGTTTGTAAATGTGGTTACTTTCAGATGTTTCTAGACTTTTTGGTTGCACTCATCATAACCTCATAACTTTTTTTAAGCTTCTATAGACCCATCCTTATTTAATAATGAAGATAACTGTTCATTGCAGGGCAGAGCACATTTACCCTGGAAAGAGTGAGGTACTCACAGGTTTTTGATGTCTGTAGCTCCCCTGAAAGCTTTTCTGGGAATGGACTGGATGTAGTTCTCGCTCAGATCTCTGCGGAGACAATAAGAAGGCATCGGTTAGAGACAATCCATCCTCGATTATCGCTTTGGTTTGGTCTTTTTTAGTTTGAGAGGATGTGTGTCCAATATAACTCAATTTCGGAAGCAATGTTAACATGTTCCAGCAATTTCCTCTGTGAACCTTTCACTTCTAGTGTTTAAGCATGCTTTGCTAGCAGCAGGAATCAAACTCTATTCAGTGTCGCTCTTTCTTTTAACACACTCAATGGTGCAGAACAGGAACGCTATGGGCATTTTTTTTCCTTCTGCCAACACCCTTAGGTGTGATACTGCATGGCCAACTCATTCATAATGAAGATGTTATTTTTTTTGTTGTTGGCTGTATTATTCAATATTCACTCAGGCTATAATTTGTTCACTGTGCCCTGACCATGCACTGGTGTGAGGCACCAGTTCACAGACAGTTGGGCAGACAGACAGCTGGGCAGCGACCAATGAGATGTTGGTGGTGTTCCCGCAGTAGCACAAAGAGCATTATTTTCCCATATAATATTTGGTGTGTGTGTGTGAGTGTGTGTGTGTGTGATAATCAACCTGAACAGTGAGAAGAGCAGTATTTGAAGCACAAGACTTATTTTAATTGGCACAGTATTTTGCCTATTGTTTAAATTGTGAGCTAACCTGACTCAGAAAGCATGTAACCATCTTCTGTACATACTCTACTCAGGGAAACTCTTGGCTGATACCAGAGAGGCTCCTGCCTCATGCAAGGAAGGCTCCCACAGCCCGGACAGATGTAAACAGAGCACTTATGGTCACCCACAGAAGGGCTAAGGCACAACACCAGAATCAGACTTTGATGACTCCTGCTTAGTTAATGTTCATGCGCACCGCAGCATGCAATCCTCTGATGCACACAACAAATATCCACGCTAAAACCCCCATGGGGTAATGCTAAAATGAGTTCCCAAGACACACAGTCTCACATAGTGTTCCCACTGGGTGATGCTTTCCAGAATGTTCCCGGGAATGAATATCGCACAGACATTGTTTCGGCAGGATACAAAAGAGGGGAGTAAAACGCATTACAGCGGTTGTGTTGCTCAATCCATCTAATGAATGGGTGGTTGTTTCTTTACGGTACAGCAAAAATTAAAAGAGTACTATGCAGGCCACTGCAAATACACCACAATTAAAATGGAATTTGTGTGTTTGATTCCATGTCATAAAATATTGAGGTCAGATTGAATTGTGGCAGTCTACTCTGACTTGTAGGGTCTTGCCCCGTGTTTACAGTCTTGTTCCATTTACAGACGGCATTACAATGATGTTGCATGGGAATGACCGTGCTAGGGGCACTTTTATTTAGCGGATAAAGGAACAAATAAGTAGCCCTTTATATGGCTGCTATTCTGAACACACAAAAACCTGACGAGCACGTACAGATGTGCAAATGAAACACACACGTCGCTGGCTCGCGTTCAGACAGAACATAAATATTCCATCTGGTGGCACATTCTAATTTTATCCTGTGAGGTTTCTGAGTTACATTCTCTCGGAAGATCTGCATAACATCTGCTTTCATTGAGATAAAGGGCATCACAGTTAGCAGGCAATTTAGGCAATTACACAACAATAACCTAGCTATTTTGTCAGTCTGCCATATTTTGCAGGATCATATCCCAAACACCAAACCGGCTTCATGTCTCCTAACTAGCAAGCATGAGAGCCAGAACGGTTGTGCTCCCTCCAGCTCCTTTGTTGTTCTCTTGGCAAAACAGCATGAGTGAAGAAATGAAAGCTGAGTCAGTCTGGCACCCGGGCTGAATTGGTGCCGCTTATCAAAGGAGGTCCACCTGTACCTGAACTCTAATTACTAATTAGTCCCGTCACCTTCTCTTCACCTTTCTATAACAAAAGAAAACCACCAACACACAAAAGATGTCTCTTTTGTGATCTTCTGCATACATTTGGTTAATGACTTCTTGCCCCTAGACATATGAGGATATCTTTTCTGTGTGTGGTGGTTGTATGTGTGTGTTCACTCCCAGGCTCCAATGGGAAATTTCAACAAATTGCTGTGCTCAGGCGGCATTAAATGCCGGAGGCAGTAGGTGCTGGGAGAGGAAGAAAGACATAAATATGGGGACAGGCATGAGAAAAGGATGGAAAGCTCTGATGATATGAGGACAATGCCATTTTTGTAAGTAGTAAAATGATAGCTCTAGGGTGAACTCGTCAATCCTGCTAGCATGCTAAAACACAATTGGTTAGAGTGATCTATAGACTACCAATTATGGTGCTGTTTGACTGGATTTGGTGCTGAGGTCGTGGGAGGTCACTTTAAAAATATAAGTCTATTCTGGGACAATGTGCACCCCCCCCCTCAAAAAAAAACCATGAAACTATAAATGATGCTATCTATAGTGCCAGAAAATCTCATTTACTTATACTGCTTTTGTCCCTTTGCATGTTTCTTTCTCTCCCTTTGTCACATCTAACACAATAATCACAGTGGTCATGGTTTGGAGTCTGAAGTCTTCTGTATTCTATAAGGATTTATCGACGGGTTAAACTCCTACAGGAGCCAGAACAATATTAAATTTAGCAACTCGACATTTCTGCATTTACACACTCCTAAAATGGCAAACAGGACATTTCTGTGGGAGACCATACTGTATTTTACATAGTCTGTGGTTGCCCCTCACTGGTATTTTCTAAGCTTGGCTCCAACTGTGTTGCTGCTGAGAATTTTGACATCTCTGATTAGTTGATTTCAGTCGAGCTGATTTCAGGGAAGCACTGATCCATTCAAAAACAGACATGATTATATGACAACAGTCACCACAAATAGAGATAATGGTCACCATGGTGTTTGACACAAAATCAAGTGACAGTAAATCTAATGTTAAAGCCTTTTAGCAAATACCACAACAGTGCATCACTTGTGCAGCAGCCCAAAGATAGTTCAGAACTCATCTTGGCAAAGTCAGGAATTACAAAAGACTAAAGAGGAACCACTTCCATCTTCTTTGTGCCTTGTTTCTTCATGAAATCATCTTAGATTTGAGTGTCTGGCCAGCGCATATGTTTTAATATGTGAATCTGTGTACTGCATCAGACTTATCTAACCTCAGAGTCAGATAGTGGATTGCAGGAGCAGATAAAGTCAGGAGACGAAGGATAGCGGTTATAACCTCCGGGCTTCATGACACTCGCAGAGCTCTGTTCAGGGTAGAAGAAGCCACCAGGGCTTTGCAGCAGTCGCCACTGCCCAGACTCCTTCCATACACTCATTACAATGCGTTGAAGAATATCCCGAGGCAGTCCCTCAGCCTCTACTCCAAGCCCAGGCCTCCATGCATTTTACAGATTGCTGCAATAATGTTAGACCTACAACTTTTTCTTTCCTTATTTCCTGCACGCAGCATGCCTTTTTTTCATCATAGGTGTGTGATCCAACGCTTGAGTGAACAAGAGTGAGTGTTCAAAAGAGCCAAGACCTGGTATACATTTACCTTAATGCACTACATACCATGCAAGTGGGCAGTTAGTTCATTAATGTACCCCTGGCTCTTTCTGGGTGACGTTGCTCACAGTTCATTCCCATTGTTGCCGTAATGATGCGGTAACACACATGTTTTCAGGTGTGTCTTCGCTGTATGAACTACAGTCTCTAATATACTGCGGTCAAGCTTTTTAAGGTTTCACTTATTCAGGACCTCAAACAATCTTATTGTTTAATCAGTGTAAATTGCTCTGACAATAAACTTAGCTACTGATATGCTGGTTTACAAGAATCCCCGCAGAGTCTATATCTGAAATAATTAGCAATGTTATCAGACATAGCTCGAGGCGCCTGGTCTGAAGATTAGCTCCACGCTGAAGGTAATGTCTGGTTCCTGTCTGATTCACATCATTAACCTCTGATCTCTATCTCAGTACACTACACTAACACTGTACACACCTTCATGATACACATACCTACTATGGTTTCATGTTAATATACGGATCAAAACGCCAGCGTAAAGACACGCTGTGACCCTTTTAATTCTTTAATCATTGTTTGCGACGGCAAAATGAATATCTAGGGAGGCTGAAGCAGTCACTTAATTAAAAACAAAGTATAAAGTTTCAGGCATTTCAGCTTTTGCATTAAATTTTTTTGACTAAAACTCAAGGAAGCTACATGTTCACATGGTAGCAACTTGATAATCACAAGGTAGTTGGATTTATTTCATCTATTTTGCTCTATATGGGATCATGAAAGCTTCTTTGAGCTGATCCCTTGTCATGTTTGATTTGGCAGAGTTTTACACTGGATGCTCTTGCTGACACATCCCAAAAAAGAATTAGTGTCTCTGTCTGGAATGGAAGCAGAAACCTTTTGCTTGCTAAGCCAGTGCGTTAACCACTACACTACGGAGGCACCGCCCTGTAGGGGACCATAATTACCCAAATGAACATTATGCTGTATTAAAGGTAGCTTTTTAAACCAATAACTCACCAACAGAGTGTTGCACTAAATCAACTGCAAAGTAGTGTTATACCCCATAAACATCTATTAATTTGGGCCTCTTTCGGAAATCCCTGAAGTTGCCCTCTTATGATCATGAGGAAGAAAGCAAGTTTAAGGCACATCTGCATTGGCTTCACTTTTAAGGCAGTCCAGCTTTTATACACTTTTTGTGGCTGACACCTGCAAAGCTTCAGGATATTTGGTGTGGGTGTAATTTATATCTCGTAATGACCTTTATGCACATAGAAATATTTGCACATGAGCTTACATGTGAAAACAAATAACTGCCTCTGTCATACACCGAAAGATTTCTTAGTTTCCGACTTTGTGCCTCCACATTTGGCTGTCAAAAGTTTTGATACATGGGAGGATAAATCCTATTTATGATATGTTAGTTTTAAAGCTTTTCCTTAGGAGAAATTTCAACTGCCTTTTAAGAAGATGTGTGCACTCTGTTGACTTCATTGATGCCTTCTACAGCTGCTGGTCACTATTAACACTTTACTTTTCTG